CACTCAAAACAGTTTTCGAAAAGGGAATTCTCAGACATAAGCAATTAGAGGCAACTGAGACAATCATCAAGCAGAAAGCATCGGCAACTTTTCAATGGATTTGATGACGATATCTCACGACAGTTTTCAGAATCAATCAGATGACAAATCTATCACAAAACAAGCAATCAACGAAAAAGCATATACAATCTCATCGAGCTTTACAGAGAAAAGATGTTCGAATGCTCAAAGACAATCACATGCAATTAACGTAAGTAGTGACCAGTTCTAGTTCTAGGCATAATAGTAATCATCAATTTGTTTAAACAACCACAGCCAATACTAACGTTATATTATAAAATAGAAGTTGACGTCAAAGTTCCAGTTGTTATGTGAAGTCATCAAATGAGCAACGCGAGTGTCTATTGTCAATACTTCCTTGGGCTGATCTGAAATCTGCATGTAAATGACTGGTACAAAAGGATGAGAAGACGTTGCTTAATCGTAATGTGTGATTGAAATTCATCAAGGACTTCAACCGAAAAATGAGGTAATTATTTTTTATTACTTTAATTTCATTTTGGTGGATTCAAAATGAGCAAACGCCCCACCGTCCTGCCCAAATTTTTTTTCGGCACTTAGAGTTGTTACAATTTTGTAGCTAAAATGCTTCAAAACCAATCAAATGCTTTAATTTTCCTCTTATTCGTTTTTCTCATCTGTAGTCACTCAAAACAGTTTTCGAAAAGGGAATTCTCAGACATAAGCAATTAGAGGCAACTGAGACAATCATCAAGCAGAAAGCATCGGCAACTTTTCAATGGATTTGATGACGATATCTCACGACAGTTTTCAGAATCAATCAGATGACAAATCTATCACAAAACAAGCAATCAACGAAAAAGCATATACAATCTCATCGAGCTTTACAGAGAAAAGATGTTCGAATGCTCAAAGACAATCACATGCAATTAACGTAAGTAGTGACCAGTTCTAGTTCTAGGCATAATAGTAATCATCAATTTGTTTAAACAACCACAGCAAATACCAAAGTTATATTATATAATAGAAGTTGACGTCAAATTCCAGTTGTTATGTGAAGTCATCAAATGAGTAACGCGAGTGTCTATTGTCAATACTTCCATGGGCTGATCTGAAATCTGCATGTAAAAGACTGGTATGAAAGGATGAGAAGACGTTGCTGAATCATAATGTGTGATTGAAATTCATCAAGGACTTCAGCCGAGAAATGAGGTAATTATTTTTTATTACTTTAATTTCATTTTGGTGGATTCAAAATGAGCAAACGCCCCACCGTCCTGCCCAAATTTTTTTTCGGCACTTAGAGTTGTTACAATTTTGTAGCTAAAATGCTTCAAAATCAATCAAATGCTTTAATTTTCCTTTTTTTCGTTTTTCTCATCTGTAGTCACTCAAAACAGTTTTCGAAAAGGGAATTCTCAGACATAAGCAATTAGAGGCAACTGAGACAATCATCAAGCAGAAAGCATCGGCAACTTTTCAATGGATTTGATGACGATATCTCACGACAGTTTTCAGAATCAATCAGATGACAAATCTATCACAAAACAAGCAATCAACGAAAAAGCATATACAATCTCATCGAGCTTTACAGAGAAAAGATGTTCGAATGCTCAAAGACAATCACATGCAATTAACGTAAGTAGTGACCAGTTCTAGTTCTAGGCATAATAGTAATCATCAATTTGTTTAAACAACCACAGCCAATACTAACGTTATATTATAAAATAGAAGTTGACGTCAAAGTTCCAGTTGTTATGTGAAGTCATCAAATGAGCAACGCGAGTGTCTATTGTCAATACTTCCTTGGGCTGATCTGAAATCTGCATGTAAATGACTGGTACAAAAGGATGAGAAGACGTTGCTTAATCGTAATGTGTGATTGAAATTCATCAAGGACTTCAGCCGAGAAATGAGGTAATTATTTTTTATTACTTTAATTTCATTTTGGTGGATTCAAAATGAGCAAACGCCCCACCGTCCTGCCCAAATTTTTTTTCGGCACTTAGAGTTGTTACAATTTTGGAGCTAAAATGCTTCAAAACCAATCAAATGCTTTAATTTTCCTTTTATTCGTTTTTCTCATCTGTAGTCACTCAAAACAGTTTTCGAAAAGGGAATTCTCAGACATAAGCAATTAGAGGCAACTGAGACAATCATCAAGCAGAAAGCATCGGCAACTTTTCAATGGATTTGATGACGATATCTCACGACAGTTTTCAGAATCAATCAGATGACAAATCTATCACAAAACAAGCAATCAACGAAAAAGCATATACAATCTCATCGAGCTTTACAGAGAAAAGATGTTCGAATGCTCAAAGACAATCACATGCAATTAACGTAAGTAGTGACCAGTTCTAGTTCTAGGCATAATAGTAATCATCAATTTGTTTAAACAACCACAGCCAATACTAACGTTATATTATAAAATAGAAGTTGACGTCAAAGTTCCAGTTGTTATGTGAAGTCATCAAATGAGCAACGCGAGTGTCTATTGTCAATACTTCCTTGGGCTGATCTGAAATCTGCATGTAAATGACTGGTACAAAAGGATGAGAAGACGTTGCTTAATCGTAATGTGTGATTGAAATTCATCAAGGACTTCAACCTAAAAATGAGGTAATTATTTTTTATTACTTTAATTTCATTTTGGTGGATTCAAAATGAGCAAACGCCCCACCGTCCTGCCCAAATTTTTTTTCGGCACTTAGAGTTGTTACAATTTTGTAGCTAAAATGCTTCAAAACCAATCAAATGCTTTAATTTTCCTTTTATTCGTTTTTCTCATCTGTAGTCACTCAAAACAGTTTTCGAAAAGGGAATTCTCAGACATAAGCAATTAGAGGCAACTGAGACAATCATCAAGCAGAAAGCATCGGCAACTTTTCAATGGATTTGATGACGATATCTCACGACAGTTTTCAGAATCAATCAGATGACAAATCTATCACAAAACAAGCAATCAACGAAAAAGCATATACAATCTCATCGAGCTTTACAGAGAAAAGATGTTCGAATGCTCAAAGACAATCACATGCAATTAACGTAAGTAGTGACCAGTTCTAGTTCTAGGCATAATAGTAATCATCAATTTGTTCAAACAACCATAGCCAATACTAACGTTATATTATAAAATAGAAGTTGACGTCAAAGTTCCAGTTGTTATGTAAAGTCATCAAATGAGCAACGCGAGTGTCTATTGTCAATACTTCCTTGGGCTGATCTGAAATCTGCATGTAAATGACTGGTACAAAAGGATGAGAAGACGTTGCTTAATCGTAATGTGTGATTGAAATTCATCAAGGACTTCAGCCGAGAAATGAGGTAATTATTTTTTATTACTTTAATTTCATTTTGGTGGATTCAAAATGAGCAAACGCCCCACCGTCCTGCCCAAATTTTTTTTCGGCACTTAGAGTTGTTACAATTTTGTAGCTAAAATGCTTCAAAACCAATCAAATGCTTTAATTTTCCTTTTATTCGTTTTTCTCATCTGTAGTCACTCAAAACAGTTTTCGAATGGAGAATTCTCAGACATAAGCAATTAGAGGCAACTGAGACAATCATCAAGCAGAAAGCATCGGCAACTTTTCAATGGATTTGATGACGATATCTCACGACAGTTTTCAGAATCAATCAGATGACAAATCTATCACAAAACAAGCAATCAACGAAAAAGCATATACAATCTCATCGAGCTTTACAGAGAAAAGATGTTCGAATGCTCAAAGACAATCACAAGCAATTAACGTAAGTAGTGAACAGTTCTAGTTCTAGGCATAATAGTAATCATCAATTTTTAAACAACCACAGCTAATACCGACATTATATTTTAAAGTAAAATGTGACCACAACGTTCCATGTTATTTAACGTCATCAATTGAGAAGCTGATAAAATGGCTTCAAAAATACCTTTCAATATAAACATTTTTGAGTTTACATACCTGTCCACAAAATTAAATAAATAATTGTTAAATTAATTGCTTTCATAATTTATTTTTTTTTGTTCCTAATATCCAATGGTATTTTTATTGAATAAAGATACAAATATCTTGTTTAGCGATACACAAATATAATTCATCCTTTCTTTGATTCAGTATTGTTTACTGCTCAAATTATCTTATTCCATAGTACTTTTTATGTCATTAAAATTTTTATCATTTGACAGCATGTCCTTTTCCAAAAGCTCTTTTGTAAGAACATAAATTGCTTCTTTTAAGTCATTTATCTCGTAGATATTTTCCCGCTGCTACATGAACTTATAGGTGATTATCATCTTATTTGATCATTTTTTGATGTCCTTATTCCCAAATTGTATCAGAAACCTCGCAACTGCATTCTAGCTGATTTTCTTATCCTCTAAAATTATGACTTTATAAGCGAGCTTCCATTCATGATGATTATATTTTATATTTTTGATGACAATAAATTGCAGAAAACAATTTTTAATCTCCTTACAGTTATAATAAATATGTTTATTATCCGTTAAAATAGATTTAAAAATTTTATTGCTTTTTCAATATCACAAATCATATGTTTAATATTTTGATATATTTACGTATGCTCAACTTACTTTTATGATAATACGTAAAATCTTACGTAAGAAATAATTAAAGTGATGAAAAATCGATAATTACGGAATGTAGAAGAATTACCGGCGCATAAAGATGAAATTATGTAGTAAAACTAAACATAAAGTAGCTTATTTCATGAGATAATTGATCATTCAGTTGTGAAAAAGCATAAATTTTAATAAACAAAATTTTGTAAACATAAAAACGCCCCCTTAATGTCAAAATCATAACTTTTGAAATTTTAAAAAACCGGTGAAAACAATTTGGCAAAAAATCATTGTGCAATTTAATTACATTGTAAATTTCTTTACAAATTGTCATTATTACATCATGATAGAAACAAGGAAATGCAAAAGTTATTAATTAATACTTGATTGTGATGTTTTAGCGATGATTTCAAGTTGCGAAATTATGATAACGTCGAACATGTTTTTAAAAGTGTAAAGTCAAGTTGCCTCAGAAAATTTCAACCAATATAATTCAACCAAGTCTTTAATTTAATTTATCTCCACAAAAATACAATAAACTGTGTTAAAAGTACTGCATTTCACAACTTTAGTTCCTGTTTCACTCTAATTTCATCAAGTACATACGTTTTATCGTGTTTCAACTACTTAAATTTATCATTAAAATTATTTCGCCGAGTCTATATCAAAAAAAAAAAAAAAAATAGAGAAGAAAATAAATACACACATAAAAGTTTTATATATCCGAGAGCAGAGAAAAGGCAGTCAAGAAGAAGAATCGATTTAACAACAAGACAACCAACGAGCCGCTTTTATTATGTATGTGTGATGATTATAAATTGGTTTGTTTTCGTTAAATAACAATTTTTTTTATCAAATCACAAACGATTTATTGTTTGTGCTCAATTTATTTTAGTAAAATTAAAAACAGAAACAAGAGAGATTCTACTTCTCAGACAGGATTGGTGCTCTTAGCAGAGATGTCAATAAATGATTGGGAAAAACTGCAGGTTACGCGAGATGAGGTCGATAAAATTGGCGAGGCATTAAAGCAAAAGGAATTTCGTCAACTTCTTGTTGATTATTGTGAGGAAATAAGTGATCCGGAAAATAAGAAACTGTATGAGAAGGAAATAACAGAATTAGAGAAAGAACGTGGTGTTGACATTTCTTTCATCAACCCTGAGCCGTGCTATGTGATTAAAACTAGTTCCGATGGAACAACCAAGACCTTTATTAATATTGCAACTAACGAAAAAGTAGAAAAACCGTCAAGTAAGCCATCAACCAATGAAAATGGTCAGCGTGGATTAGTGTGGAGCTTGCCACATACATTAACACCGCCTAGACGTGACGCTGATAAGAAAGGCTCAATGTGTCATGTTTATGATGTTGTTTTCCATCCTGATGCATTACATTTAGCAAAACGTAATGATGCATTCCGTCAACTTGTTAACGACACTGCCATAGACGCGGTTCAGCAGTCATTCAAAGTGAATCTTGACCGTACAAATCTCAAATTTCCTAAATTGTCATACAAAGGAATGGTAAAACCAGCTGTGATTAGAAAGAAGTTGGATAACTTTGACATGTCAACGATTGAACCAAGTCCAATTGATAGCATTTATCCACCAATGCCTGATGAGTCTAAGTCTAAACCACAAGTTGTAAAGCCTTGCGAGAAACCTACAGAAATGTATACAATACCGAAATTCAAAATCGTACAAAGACGTGAAGTTGAGTTCCAAGAAATGACGAATGATATTGATGCAAAAATGAACCTTACTATTCCACACGAGTTAACTGTTACAATAGATCTTCCTCTACTAAACACAACTCAGGATGCAAATTTAGATGTTACTAATAAGAAAATAACACTAATTAGTGAAAAGCCTGCAAAATATAAAGTTGAAATCATATTACCTTATGAAGTAGATGAGGAAAAAGGAACTGCCAAGTTTGATAAAGCAAAACGTCAGTTAATCATCACATTGCCTGTTGTGAAAAGTAAAAGTATGAAAATCACTGATTTTCTTCGTGAAGATTCTGGCATTGAAAGTGATCAACCTATGTCTGGTAAAGAGAAACAAGACAATAGTGATGAATCGGAATCGTCAAATGAATCGCCATTAATAAGTACAATAGATGAAGAGAATGATGACGTAAATGCTGCTGATAATGAGAATAGCAAAAATGATTACAATGTTTTCAAAGAATTTCTCGACCTAAATATTGAATATGTATTGCCAAATTTCACATTCAATCAGATTGATGATATCATTGCATTTACATTGCATGTTAAAAACGTTGACGCATCAACAATTATAATTAATCGAAAGGATTTACTGAACATTGCTCACATTAAATTTTCATCAATTGGTTCTGGCTTCTTTCCGATCCATTACTCATTTTGTGTAAAATTTCCATCACAATACACGTCAATATTTCGCGAAATAACAGCAGAAGCATGGGATAATAATGTTATTTTTCAATTTGAACTGAATAATTATGAATTTTCATCATATGAAGTAGGTGTCGATGATAAGAACCTCACAAATTATGATATTGCTGAACGACTGATAGGACGTCAAGCCATGACATCACAGGGAAAGGAAATAGAAGACGATAGCTTATGTATAGAGGTCCGTTCAGATAAAGAAGAAAGTGAATTAGTTATAGAGGTCAAAAAAGATTCTAAAAAATCACAAGAGACATCAAATGATGATGAAATATCTGAGGATGTATTTGATGATAAGCAGTCAATTATGGATGGCACAAAGCGCCAAACCAAGAAAGCTATGAGGAAGCGTGCTAAAAAGCCACGCTCCATGTCTGAATCGTATTGTGATCAATTAAAAGTAATAAATGAACTGGAATATCCAAAGATGGAGAAATCAACAGATGAGTCAAAAAATCGCAATAAGAACAATGCTCGGAGTTTAAGTGAAAGCAGCGACGAAGATCACTTAGATGAAAATGGCGATATGTCTGTACAAAATCGCCACAAGTACAAATCAATCCTGAAAAATCGTAACTCTTATTCAGAATGTAATGAGAGCTCTGTTGAGTACTCAAAGAGCCTTTATTCAATATCAGCCGACTTTGGTATTTGTGAATCTCATGATTCGCTTTCGGAAAGCTGTAAAAAACAAGTTCGGTTTAGTGACATCATTAAACGTCAGCTTTTCAGGTAAATATTTACACAGTAATAAGATTTTAAGTGCTAGGAAAATTACGCTTCTTTTCTTTAGTTTCTTTTATTTTTAAGTCGCTCATAAAAGCTTTGTATAAGTATATTATTATTTTTTATTGGTGATAAAGGTCATTAACTTTTGTACAAGAAAATATGCATAATGTGTGCTGCTCATATGCTTCGACACGAAATGGTATGAGGATGCTATCAAAATTGAGTTAATGCATTATGCATGCATACTATCATTTTCTAATTATGGTCTATGAATGGGTTTCTTATTCTTTGCCATATCCATATGATGGTTTTGTTTTTAGATAAGAATATATTTGCATCCATGGAAATGTTTTCTACATTTTTGAGCAATAAGATGTCACACAGTCAATGTTGCCAGCTGGATATCCAAATTTGAACAGTTGTCTAAAGTTTGAAATGGGAGAAATTGTAGTCAGCTATTTTGTTTGTTGGTTTAAATTTGGGATTTTTAAAATCGATATACTTTTGTGACATTTGACTCCAATAGAAACAAATATTAGTGATGTCGGTGTATCAAACCTTTCATAAATTTTGGAATTTACAGCACATTTAGTGAATCGTTCACACATAAAAACCTTTTTAAATCAATCTGGTCATTTGTGAAAGACCCCCGAAAATTAATCTCACCCAAATTTCTTAAAATCAAAAATCTGTTAAGAAAGTTCTCAATTCATAACTTTATAAAGAAATTTTTGTTTCCTTTACAATTCCATTATTTTTTCCATTCCATCGTAGCTTTTTCCATTAAAATATTGACATGTTCTTTTTTTACAGATCAAACACATCAATTTTGGGACAAAAGAAGAAGAATCAGAAGAAAAAGGCATCCAGACAACGAGCAATAGAACGTCGTCATAGTGAGGGTAGTGAAAGTGAAAAGCACGATGATGATTTTGACGAGAAGGTAAACACACAAATGATTTTCTTTATGGATAGAACAGTTGTTCTCAAGTTTGTTAAATTACGAGATAAAGATTCAATGGCTATCACTAATGGGTCGTGGAACGCAACTTGGGAACCACTGAAATACAGAAAAGATATATTCTTTACTCACGACATTTAAGTTCAGTTCAATCTCTCTCACGCTTACATTCATTGTTATTATTTTATGACAGGGAGACGATATAAGCAATGAAGAAAACAACGAGAAGCCACAAAAACGTGATTCGGGCGTTGATCTGAACGAGAAAAGCGTCAATCAGAATGTGAAGATTAAGAACAAATCATCGAAGGCTGATAGAATCATCAACGGAAATGATATTCATTTCAAATCCGGCATGATCTTCGATTTAGAGATGTAAAGGAATTTCTGGAATATTTTTTCTTCTTCGAAAATTCTAATGTGGAAGTATGTATTGGAAAATAATAAATTAGGGTATGAGGATGAGCTCAATATAATATTTTATATCGTAACAAAAAAAGTAGAGAGGATTTAGGGAGATTTTTTTTAGAAATAGTTGAGATAATGTAATTTCTTGAGAGTTGCTATCTTATTTAGTTTTTGAGCACAATTGGATCTTTTTATCACACGTGTTACTTTTTTAAGATTCTACTTATTTGTTCCCAGTGTAAAATCTTAAGATCTAAAATATTTTGTCTAGTTGATTAAAGGATTAGTAGTGACGTCCTGATAGCAATAATAATATTTTCCAATTAATCCTCAACAATAATGTATTTTTGAGAAGCCTTAGTTTAAAAATTAAAAATATTAATGAGTTTCAACATGAAACATCCTCAAAAGCCTTCATGCTCAAATGAACTTTCTAATTAAAACTACTACTCGACATGTCCGGATAGCAACTCCAAATTTATTTTTCACATAATTTTTTCGTACAAAAAAAAAGAAGAAATTTTTTATAAAAAGTTTGTCTTACTACTGATACTTTATAGAAACTAATCATGCATGTTTATCCATTTTCTATATGAAATTTGGTCCTTTGATACACAACGACGACAACATCAAACTTTTTTTTTATTTCCTTTCCTTTTTTTTTTGCATGATGCAAATGTTCCTAGAGTAAAATGATAAAGACATCCATGAATGTATTGAACGAAAGAAATCACACAATTTTTAATTATGTTAAAATAACATACAATTTATTTAATGTTAAAAGAGAGAATCCAGAAGAGATGATTTTATGACTAGATGATGTGAAAAAAGAAAGCTTTCCTTTCTTCTATTTCCGTGACGAAAAATCAAAAGAAAAACTCGTTCTCGCGAGGAAAAATTCGATTTATAATTTTCTCTTTTGAAAAGGAAGCGAAATAAAATAGAATTGAAAAAGAAAATTTGTTAAGAGTTTTGTGTTGTTTCATAAATGACGTCAACTTAATAATATAATATCATTTAATTCATGATCATCGAGTGTGAATTTCCCGAACATACAATTAGTATACTCAGAGCACATTATTCGTGAGCTTGCAATCTTTTGTGAGAATGTGCTCATTTCATACATTAAAGTGATGCGATCACGGTACCTTTTTGAGTATGCTCAGTGAGCACATTCCTATGTGCCATGCATTAAGCTCACTGAGTAAACTCATAAGCATACTCAAATGAGAAAGCAACATGCTACACGCAACATTTTTTATTGAATGTACTTATGAACATTCTCAAAGAGCATATACTCATGAACATACTCAAAGAGCTCATACTCATGAAGATACTCAAAAGATATATGCTTAGTGAGTTTATTAATGAGTATATGCTCATCTGAGCACACTCATGAGTGCAATCAGTTAAAGTCACAAAATTCAAAAAATTAATTAAGTTAAATTTGAGTTTTATAAGGATAATTCTGTGAATAATTTTGGAAGAGCTAGAAATTATTATTAACATTTTGTCTCAAATACATAAGAAGGAAGTTTTAAAAACCGGTCACCCATCCTTGTAGAAAAACCTTTTGCGTTGCTTAACTTCTGTCACCTCACACTTTTCCTTGGAGCAATTTTCTGTAAATATATAATAATTTAAATATGGCAAACACATACTTAAATTATTATATTATTGAAGTCTGATACGCTACTTAATTGAACTATATTTTTATGAAATATTTGAGTTGATCAGAGCACGATCGTGAGAACATATTATGAAAAATGTCGACCAACTTAAAATTAAACTTAAAACACATTTTTATGTAAGTTTTTTTTATTATTTTTATGTACGACCAGCTTAAATCGAACAAAGAATACATTTTTATGCAAGTCGACATTTTTTGAAAATATTTTATGAATTCAAATATTAGTTCCATGAAAGCCAAAAGATTTTGATCGTGCTTAATTTTTATAGTTTTTTAAAAGCAAAGTAATTTTTAATTTAATTCCTTGACATTTATTTCAGAAAACTTAAAATTGTAAAAAGTTTCATACATTTTTGTATTACATATCTAAAAAATAACATTTTCAAAAATGTCGACTATCATTTAAATATGTTCTAAGTTTGATTTTAAGTTGATTGACATTTTTTTTAAAATGTCGACTAATAAAAAAATGTATTCGATGTTCGATTTTAAGTTGGTCGACATTTTTGAAAATGTCGACTTACATAAAAATGTATTCTAAGTTAATTTTTGAAAATGTCGACTTACATAAAAATGTATTCTAAGTTTGATTTTAAGTTGGTTGACATTTTTGAAAATTCACATAAGTATGTTCTTAATATTCTCATGAGTATGTTCAGTAAGTGCACTCATATGAGAACGTAAAAAAATTATGTCACACAGAAGTGAGTATGTTCTTAATATTCTTATGAGAATGTTCAGTAAGTGCACTCATACGAGTATAGTCAAATAAGTATGTTCTTAATATTCTCATTAGTACACTCGTTGAATGTACTCACGTGAGCTTATAAATTTTTTGCAAAAAAATAAAATGAGTACATTCGTAATGAACTCTTGAGCATGCACTATGGGGCAAAATTGAAAAAAAGGGACTTTCACTTCGAAAAAGGCAATGTTTCAAATTACGTTCTCAAGTGAATTTTATCTTGTAGAGGATATAAAAATAGACTTCTATGCCAAATTTCAGGTCATTCGGTGCTATTTTTGCGAATCTGTGGCTGTTTGAAGTTGAAAAAGGGTGAAAAATCTGGTTTTTTCATGTCACGTTAGAACTGGTAAATCTCCACAATGGTTAGAGATATTGAAAAAAGGTTTTCAGTTCCTAAAAGTGTAATATAAAAACTTTCTTTTAATGTATATCAAAGTTTACAAATTTGATGTTTTGGTACCGGTGTAGTTGAAAGCGTATAAAAATCCTAGGAAAAATATCTGGGCAAATCCACGAAACAAAAAATTTTTTTTTGCAAAATTTTTCAATTTAAAGTAATTATTTCTCTCTTATGTCACATTATTCAAAAAGATTGAATGTTTTAATAAATGCAATAATGTGAATAGAAAACCATAAAAAAATTTTGCTTCTCTATAATCGTTAATTAAAGAGAAATTTGACTTTTTATAAATCTTCCTGAGTCACATTTTAGCGGAAAACATCGAAAAATTCAATTATCTCAAAAAATATAAGTTTTTAAGCGACATTGATCAACAAGATCTGTTCCTTTCATGTTGTAGCATTAGATAATTTAGCAAAATGTAGATGCTAAGTGGAAATTATCTGATAAATTAATTAATTTCTTGAAAATTTTCTTCCTGAGTCACACAAAACGCTTTGCCACAAGAATATACTTGTTCAAATTTTTTATAACCGTTAAAATATTTGAATTTCAAATATCCGTTAAAATTTGTTGACATTTTCGAGCTCAAATCTTATTCAATTTTCGATAATTAATTAAATTTTAATTAAATAGATGTTTCCGATGCCTTTTAATGGCTTTTAAATAATATTAACTGTGCTTTAAATTAATTTTTAAGATTATTTTCAATAAAAAGATAAACAAATAATAACGGTTTTCTATTTTTCAAAAAAAATTTAAGCAAGTAGAGGAATAATTACAATGCGATTTTTTGTAATTCCTCAGCTTCGTGGATTTGCCCATCTTTGTGCAGGCACAACTTTTTTCTGTCAACCGCTATACCAGTCAAAAACCACATCATTAAATAGCCACTGACTTCTAGTTTTCATAACTGTATAAACATTAAAATAATGTTTGCACCGTTGTGAGAAAAGTTGATTCGAGTAAATCGACAAATATTTTGCCAAAAACGAAAATTTCTTATAAATAAAACAAAACAATAACTACAAATAAGTTTTTTGATATTTTTCAATGACAAACAATATTTAAAGACAACCTGTGAAGAAATTTTTTCAATAAAATAGCCAAAAACCAAAATTTATCAAACAAAAATATTTTAAACTGACTTATTTCGCTAAAACCATGTATAAATATGAAATATCAACCGATAAGCATCCAAGAAACAGTGTAATACTTGGGAATTTTAGACCCAATAAAGACTACTAGGATCGTACTTAAACAAGCTACCTGAGATAGCCAAAAGTTTATAAAATACAATTTTTTGAGTGTTTTTAGTCATAATTATCATAAATCGTCATAGAAAACCAAAATTCAATACTTAATTTTGTTTCTAAGTGGTATTTCTAGAAATGACGTTTTTGAGATTTTTTATAGTTTAGGGTCGCTCACAAACAAGCCTCATATTCATGATCAAGATCAAAGTCAACTATCAAGTATTATACATCATTAGAAAGGTACTGATTTAAGCTACAATAAATTGAAAACAAAATTCAAAAATATTTAAGTTTCTAAGAGTACTAGTGGTTTGAGTGATGAAAAAAACACACAAGTCTTCAGATATCAAAAGTACCCAATATAACGACAAATTTTAAACTTTTTGAAAAAATTTCTTCACAAGTTGTCATTAAATATTGTTTGTCATTGAAAAATACCAAAAAACTTATTTGTAGTTATTGTTTTGTTTTATTTATAAGAAATTTTCGTTTTTGGCAAAATATTTGTCGATTTACTCGAATCAACTTTTCTCACAACGGTGCAAACATTATTTTAATGTTTATACAGTTATGAAAACTAAAAGTCAGTGGCTATTTAATGATGTGGTTTTTGACTGGTATAGCGGTTGACAGAAAAAAGTTGTGCCTGCACAAAGATATTTTTCCTAGGATTTTTATACGCTTTCAACTACACCGGTACCAAAACATCAAATTTGTAAACTTTGATATACATTAAAAGAAAGTTTTTATATTACACTTTTAGGAACTGAAAACCTTTTTTCAATATCTCTAACCATTGTGGAGATTTACCAGTTCTAACGTGACATGAAAAAACCAGATTTTTCACCCTTTTTCAACTTCAAACAGCCACAGATTCGCAAAAATAGCACCAAATGACCTGAAATTTGGCAAAGAAGTCTATTTTTATATCCTCTACAAGATAAAATTCACTTGAGAACGTAATTTGAAACATTGCCTTTTTCGAAGTGAAAGTCCCTTTTTTTTCAATTTTGCCCCATAGTGGCATGCTCAGTTGAATGAGCTTGCATGAATATAATTTTTGAGTAGACTCACTTATATGCTCACTTTTCTGAGCATGCTCTTTGTATGTTCGGGTTTGTTGATTATATTTTTGGAATAAATGAATGAATATAAATCCTTAGATCAACAAACACTGGAAACACTTAGCTATGTGCAGTCGGACAATTAATAAAAATTAGACTGTCCTCATTTGTATTATGAAAAGGAACTTATTCTCAAATATTGACATTACACCTGAATAAGGTAGCATTGCCATTCCTAAACTCTGATTTTTCTTCCTATAAATGAAATAAAACTTTTCAAGCACGCAAGTTTTTCTACAGAAAAAGAAATCGAAGCTTAAAGACATTTTGTGTGGGCTATAAACACTATCACTTCTGAGGAATAGAAGGAAAGTTTAGAAGTTGACCTCATTATTATTCCTTGCATGATATTTAGGTTAAAGGTTAAATATTTCCTGTAGCAATCGTGTGAATTGCATAAATCCATTGTTCTTCAGCTCACCTACATTTATGATCCCAGAATCTTATTAAAGCATAGCAGTATCATAGAAGTAAAAGTATAACATAAAATTATCAAAAAAATGCGATGACCTTAATATTCTAATCACGTAAATTATTCGTCGTTGAAGTTAACAACTCGCACACTGTCCAATCATAAACGACAGCTCTTTAACTAAATTATGTTGATCTTTTCAACTCGTTATATCCGCTCGACATTATTCTCAAGTTTTCAGTCTCCAAAAAAAAAAAAAAAACTTGATGGATACTTTGAAGACGTTTTGAGTTTTTTAAAACCTTCGGAATCAATCCTTTTCAATTCTTACTTCTTTTCTTGTCCCTTCCTTTTATTCTTGATCCAATATTTCAGAGTTGCTATGTCTTGATTTTCTTATAAAGTTACGGTCTCAGTCTGTTGTTCTAGTTAATGCTGATTTAAGGCAGACTTTATAATTCTTGGGTGTCTAAACTTTTACGAGGAGCTTTGTCTCAACTCTGCAGTTTCCTTTTTGTGTCGATATCTAAAAAGAAGCTAAGGAACTTCCCGGCAAGTAATTGGATGGCTCAAGATGATTTCTGCTGATTTTAAATATTGAATTAATTGAGAAATAAAAGAATAGAACTTTTTTTTTTCAAAAAGAAGCAGCAAAAGGACAAAAGGGTATTCGATTGAAAATCGATCAAAACAGAATTTCCAAGAACAGTTGAGTTGAAACACAAAAGTATTATGTCCGTTTCAAAAATGCAGATTTTCACTTAATTTAAAAGTAATCTATAAATTGAGATCTCAACGTAGCCATTATTTATAAACGAATAGTAAAACTTATGACAATCATGCAATTTTATTGTCAAAGGATTGAATCTAGTGTATCGTTCCTTACGAAACATTCCTACCAGATTATTTTCAATGTCAGTCAGCATCTTATTGTTATGCAATTTGGTAAATGTGTCACGTAAGGCATTTATGTGATGCCTATTCATTTCTGACATAATACAGTTAATTTAATGTTAATAGTGATGATAACCCACGTAACCATAAGTCGACGAATGGAAGATTTTATGTATTACATCAAAATCTTCCATGTATGTTCCATATGTACATTCCATGTATCGTACATTGGACATTATGCTAATATGAAAAGGGACGATTTTTAGTCGATTTCACGTCGATTTCACGTCGATTATTTTTTTGAACCAAAATCAAATTTTTTTTGACCGTTACAATATAAAAACCGATTAACGGGAAAATTTTGAATTTTTTTGTATGAAAATATTTTTTGTTAATTATGCTATAATTTGTAGACAAAATCCAAAAAAAATTAATTAAGGATCTTTGAAAAAAAGAGTCGAAGACTTCATTTAAATGAATGATTCGCATGCAATTAATTTAATTAATTAATCGCACTTTGTATGAAAATTTGGCTGTGCCTTATATAAGTGATTTCTGATTGCACTTGTGAAGTATATAGCGGCTCAAGAAAAACGACGTGTAATGGATGAAAAATCGACGTCTATTGGATCATCCAAAAAATTGTACATTTAAGTCGATTTTTTCATTGACGGCGATATTGGTTACGTGGGAATGCTGATTGTTTCCCTTTTTATTTACCTTTGACGAATGATACGAGTCTCTTGCGAGGCATAATGTGTAGAAAATTATGTC